AATTTATATCAGATGAAGTGCTCTGTAAGGAAAGACAAATAATTATTAATAAACTATAAAAATTGCATCCCATAGTGCTAGCTTAAACCAGAACTCTAGCCAGTTTATGGGGGAGAGAGGGAAGAGCTTGGGTAGCTGGGCAGAACTTTCCTGTATGGCAGTTAGCTAACACATATATCTATCTAGAAGGTAGAATACTGTAGTAAATAGAGTGGAACCTTCAAACGTGGCAAGCAATTTAAGTAGGGTGAAGAGTGTACTTGGCCTAACACACTGTTCAAAACCAAGGTGAGGACATCTGCCACATTAGAGCAACATCTGGCCCATTAGAGACACTAATGAACATGACTGTTTAAATTACATTACTAAGAAAAACCTGACAGTTAAAACACGCCTGATGAAAGAAACTTTGGTGATATCCAACACTTAACTCCCACTTAAATACTGCCATGATGGTTTAAGTGACTCTGAAGCAGAACAAACACCTGGCCTGTACTGAGGCCCTGACACAGAACTCATTGGCAGCAGAAATTCTTTTGGAATAGAAACAGAATATAACACTATCTGTTTTGTTGGGGTTTTTGAAGAAAATAAAAGATCCTCCCATAATGATTCTGGTCTGACTTTAACTGTGCCCTTGAAAAAAAATACTTTGTAGAAGGCAGATGCAATTGTGAGAACTCTTAAATGTTTTATAATATTCTTTGAAAATTACCTTGAAAATCTCAATCTAAATGTAATGAGGCAACATTCTCAGGTGATACTCACATGCAGCACCATATTCTAGAAAACTTAAATAAGAGTTACACAGAACATGAAGAGAATAGAAGGTATTAATTTATATGAACTCATTATAACATTCAACTTAGTCAAATCACAGATCCATTAACTAGCCACTAGAAGTTTCTATTACTTGAATTTCTAGAAAAAGCACATCTTCGTGGTACATATCTCTGGGACAGGCACTTTTGACAGATCCATCAGCTGAATCACAATTCAAATTTATTTATTTATCTACTTATCCCAGGTAACATGACTGTGTCGGGTTTATGTAGCAGGCTTTTGGTAGCAGGGGAGTGGCTCCAGGGGTGGCTCCTGTGAGAAGCTGCTAGAAGCTTCCCTGGCTCCAAGGTGGACCTGCTGCTGGCCAAGGCTGAGCCAAACAGTGATGGTGGTAGCACCTCTGCAATAACATGTTTAAGAAGGGAAAAAAAGGAAATTGTGGAAGACCTGCAGTAGAGAGAGGAGTGCGATGCGAGAGAAACAACTATGCAGACACCAAGGTCAGTGAAAAAGGAGTCGGGGAGGTGTGCCAGAGCAGAGACCCCCCTGTAGCCTATGGAGATCCATGGCAGAGCAGATGCCCACCTGCAGTCCATGGAGGACCCCACACCACAGCAGGTGGCTGCAGCTGAAGAAGGCCGTGATTCAAAGTGAAGCCTGCACTGGAGCAGTTAGTTGCTGGGCGGATGGCAGCCCGCAGGAGGGACCCATGCTGGAGCAGTTCGTGAAGAACTGCAGCCCACGGGAAGGATGCACATCAAAGGAGTTTGTGAAGGACTGCCTCCCATTGGAGGGACCCCATGCTGGAGCAGGGGAAGAGTGTTAGTAGTCCTCCCCCTGAGGAGGAAGGAATGGCAGAGACAACATGTGATGGACTGACTGCAATATCCATTCCCCATCCCCCTGCGCCACTGGGAGGAGGAGGTAGAGAAATCAGGAGCAGAGCTGAAGAAGGGAGGGGTGGGGGGAAGGTGTTTTTAAGATCTGATTTTATTTCTCACTATTCTACTCTGATTTGATTGGCAAAAAATTAAATTGGTTGGTTTTGCCCATGACCATAATTGGTGAGTGATCCCTCCGTGTCCTTGTTTCGACCTTTGTCATATTTTCTCCTCTCCATCCCATGGGGTGGGAGGAGTGAGCAAGCAGCCGTGCAGTGCTCAGTTGCCAGCTGGGCTTAAACCACAGAAATGACAAACCTGTCACTGGGGATGATAACTTCCAAGCACAAATTTACAGTCCCAAGACCTGATTTCTGCAGCAAAGTGAATAGACTTTTGTAAGACTACCAGCTGGCATCCAACTCTGGATGAAAGGAGGAAGTTTAAAAACAAAAGTGACTCTTCATCTCATGGGACTGATAAACAACACATAATAATCACATAAATAGAAAATAAAATGTTGCATTCCAACTTTACTGTCACAAGCTCTCCACTTCTTTTCATTTGCTCAAAATCTTTTCAAACAAATTAATCTGGGGAATCCACCTTCTAACTTTGATCTCTGTGAAGGAATGAAGAGTTTTTTCCTAGTCTTCAGCAGAATCTGTTTGCCTGGTTTGAAGCTCCTTGTGCTGTTGGCTTAGCCACATGATTCTGTCAACAGAAGAACCTCACCCAGAATCCAAGAATATCGGAAAAGATGATGCTCCAATGCAGTAAAAGAAATGGTACTGCCATCAAGGGCAATTGTACTTGGAATGTACCATCTTCCTGCTTCCTAACATAAGCAGAAGAGGCACACTCATTTAACTAAGAGAAGAAACATGTCTGGATCTTGCCTAGAACTGCGTCCAGCTGGGTTTTAAATCTCTCCAAGGATGCAAGCTCCACAACCTTCCAGTGCAACCTCTTCAGTATCCAAAGACCTCCACAGCAAAGAAGTTTTTTCTTATATTTAAATGGAATTTCTTGTATTTCAGTTTGTATCCATTTCCTCTTGCCCTGACACTGGATACCACTGAGAAAAGTTTGGCTTTGCGCTCTTTACACCCTCCCATCAGGTATTTGTATGCATTGGTAAGATCCTCCCTGAGGCTTCCCTTCTTCAGGCTGAACAGCCCCAGTCCATTCCTTCTTTTTCAACTGAACTTGTTTTTCAAGTTTACATTATCATGACAGCCACCAGTAAATGACAACAAAAAAAGGGAACATGTTTCATTTCTAATATTAGTAAAACTGAAACATTCAAAAAAGGAAAGTTCAGACAGTTATATCACTACCTTATTTGTATATATGAAACACAGCCCAACTAATGAATTAAAGATTAATGCCAGGTTTAAAAGAATGACAGCATCAACTACTGCTTTTTCTTTTTTACAGGTAGGTAAAAGAAAAACCAAACAACTTTGGAAACTGTGTACAAGGCCTGTCTATCTAACTATGCTTCTAAAGGCAAAGGCTTCCTTATAAATGCAGTATCTATATATTGCTGAAAGAATGCACATACACACAATTTGCAGACGTAGGATATTCTTTTAGATTTTATAGTATCATAGACTATGATATATTATCATAGACTACCATATATTATCATAGATTACAGTCTTTTATCAATTTTACAATGTTTACAAAGATAACAAACTTGCATTGAATGAGAGGAAGAATATGAATATATGTACCCAACTCTTCACGCTCAGAGATCTCATAAATGAACACTATAATAAAAACACGTGGATAGAGCTAGAAATGAGAATCAGTTTTCAAGTGCTTTAAGTACTTTTTCTGCAAAGAAAGCTCCATGAATTCAGGTTCATAGAGAAGTTTAAGGTTGATATGAAACCACAAAAATGTGTGGTAATGTCCACATTCCCCTAAGGCATTAGCAAGGTTTGAACAACTAGCCATTACTTTCATAGAGATAAACCCAAATCTCTTACACAAAAATTACAGTGAACTCTGCAAGAAGGTCATAATACATTCTTCTACAACACCAAGACTCTCCAGAAATTAGAACAATTTGGTTTTGGAAAAACAACATCTTTGTGCACACATACGTGCATGAACACCCTCACATACAAATGGAAGACATGAAATATATGATGTGGCAAACGCTTTGTTAGAATAAGAAAGAAGGTGAAATGTTCCAAATCAAAAATGCGTATTTTGAATTCATAAGCCTTATGTTTACTCAGTCTGCTTTGTTTTTTTTTTTCTTTATTTCATAGTTCATTATTCATTTTAAATTGAGACTACACTGGGATCTTTTCGCCTTCACAGAAAAGGCAGGTCTTCTTGGTGTACAGTACAAAAACTTGGGGATTGAGTGAGGGGAAGCAGAACCTTGAGTCAACTCTGTATTCCCAACAGTCCTGCTGACAACAGAGAAAAGAATAACTGGCTACTGGAAACAGTGGCCAAACACTTTTCATCAGAGAACAGGCTAAGGCCCCTGATGACACACTTCTGCAAGCTCATTCCAAATACAATCACACTGTGCTGACCAGTATTTCTTTACACACAGAATTAGTACAGGCATGCACTCCCTCCTACAGCTTTGCTATAAAACACATGCACACACACGCACACAGAGCAATACAGTAGTGAAGAAATTTCCCACATTTACCCCTTCCCTCCTACGTAATGAAATAGACCTCCAGCTCTCGCTAAAAGCTCATTCACAGTTCTCTCACATTTACATTTTTCACCTTGGTAAAATAATGATAAAAGCAGAGCTCGCAAGCATAAAAAAAAAATCTTCCAATTAGCAAAGTGAATTTCACATTACATTTCTGAAAAGCGGAATAAATTAAAGGTTTAAAATGACACACAGAAAGGAGAAGTCAGCAAGCTATCCTTCTGAGAATACAAAACCATGTAACACATGCATACATCAGGACTGGCTTTGAGTTTACATACTGGTGAGCAAAATGAGCAGTGTTTATCGCTGTAAAACAAGACGTTGGACTCCTTTCTTTGTGGCAAATGGCACTACGAATATTTTGTTATTTCCCAGTATCTTCATCCCCTAATCAGTACTTGTATGTGCCTCTACATACTCATACTTGTCCCCTTTTTCCTCACAGTAAGTAAACAAAATGGAAAATCAATGTCTAGAATGACTCTTCCTAAAATCAGCATCCTGGGACCCAACTGTAACAGTGTGAATTGCTAGGTGGGCAGTGCCAGCAGACACTGCTGTTTCTCTGAGAACACCCTTCCTGAACGCCACATGGAAGCTGTAGCACTCCAGTCTGGGTCCCCATGCACAGTACTTACGTGATGGTGTCAATCATATCCAGTCCCATTTCAACACAGCAATGGGCATGATCTGTTTTGGGCTGAGTCAGTCCTGATACACAGTAGTAACAGTCCCCTAGGATTTTTATTCTTCTGCAGTGGTTTTCCTTTAACAAAAAAAGGATGGGAAAACTTTTACTATTCATATAATTATTCCAATATTTACAGGATAACATCTTCTCCAATACTACGCAATCATTCAGGGAATCCTTTTGTGGCCAATGAAGTAATCTACATCTGCACAAAATCTGGGTTCCCTATACAGAACAGCTCACACACACACACTTATTTATTTATAAATACACACATATATACTGGAGATCAGCTCTGCACTGCTCAACACACATGGGTTAACGCCACTTAAAACTATACTTCTGAATAAGTATCATTCCCTTGACCTCACATTAGGTCAGTACGCATTCAAGATTTGCAATTAGACTTCATTTCTGTATGAATCCAAACCAAAGGACTGAATCCAAACCACTACTGAATATCAAATGTTTGTATTTGGAGAAGTTTTTGTTTCAAATCCACTTCCAGCTTACCAGTAAAGATGATATATTTATCTGCAAAGGTATACACATTTGTGCATGTCCAATTCATAAATCATAATTTACAATACAGCTTGATCAGTGTAAATATGACATAATTGGAGATCAGAAGATACAGTCAGTTTGCATTACCATTGAATTTCTCTCCTATTTGCATACAGTTTAATTTCCGCAAAGAGATCTGGCTAAATCCCTCCCATTTCAAAAAAACAATGCTGACATGTGATGACCGCTACATTGGTCTGAGTAGAAAGTTAGTTTCCAAACAGAGCACACATAACAAAATGCCTTTAACAAAGCAGTGCCTTTAATAAAAAATGAGGAGACATGAAAAGATGATGGTATCCCTTGCTGCTAGACTACGGCAACTTTACCCATGTAGAGTATGGCACAGAAAAGTAAATAACTGATTAAATGAATCTAACTTCCACAGCTGGGACTATGCTGGTAAGTGCCACGCAAAGTTAGCCACTGTGAATACGATGACAGAGGATTAAGAAAAATCTGATTCCTCCCCCGGCAGTGTGCTATATAGACCTGATTTCAGGGGCACAGAAAGGGAAAAAGAAAAGTGAAGGCGATGGTGGTGGAATTTAAAATTTCTGGAAAAAAAATGACCTAATCATACTGGTTCAGCTTCTCATACAGGCACATATTCTCATCCAGTCTCCTGCCTACAAGAATCAAAGCCTTCCTGAGTTGATCACGCTCTCCACATCATTACCCATAGTCCAGTTCAGACGCGATGGTTATGTCTCCAGCAAGCCCTTTCTCTCTGATACGTCATGCTCCAGCATTCAGGGCTTGTTATTACACACTAATCTAGCTGCAGGCATTCCCACGCCTGTCATCTTTGTAAATGTTTCCGAGTATTGAACAAATATTACAAAATAAGAATTACCTCTGTTTAGGCATGGAAGAAGGCATGCCAACACTTTTTGGGAAAATTGGTTGTCTACTACTTTTTATAGGTTAAGCAAACAGTCAGTTCAGATCTTGAATCAAAGACGACAGCTATCTTTTTGAGTATGTTTAACTAGCAGAAAAGGCTTTTCTAAGAGTGACTACTTAACATTTCTTCTGCTGCACAGCAGGATTTTAAATATACCACTAATTATGATTGCTAATATATGTTTTAATGAATGCCAGCATAATTATACTAGAAGCATTGTCACCAGGGTCTTAGAGTATTCCCACAGCCTATAGCCACAAAATGCCACACCAATTTTACTTAGACTTTTAATTGGGTATTTTGAGATCCTTGGCTAAATGGTATTACATAAGAAAAATAATTATTGATGCACATAAAGTAATATGCAGGCCTCAAAATCTCTCCTGACACAAAACAAGGCTTCCAACTCAAGGGTTCTTTAACAGAAACCACTAAATTATACTGCCAAAATAAGCCATTTTTTAAAAATTGTGGGCAAATCTTGAAGCACTAGAGGGTACTCAGCAGTTAAAGCTGGAACCTACTTACCAAAATAAATCCAGTTTTGGCCCACACCTTATAACCCTCTATAAAGCCCTTTCCATCTTCAAATTTGGTATGCAGGATTTGTGGCCTAGTGATGACTATCTGACCTAGACAAAAGTTATTCAGAAAAGCCAGTAATCTGGGATGGACAATATGTAAGTGTTCATTGATCGGTGTTCTCTCCTATTCAGTGTCTACCTCCAAAATACTCACTTCTAATGACTTGGTTTTTTTGAGAGCTTACTGTGCTCCAGAGCACATTTTATACCAGAATACACAACACTGCTGTTGGACTGGCACAGCACAGTTTAGCAGCCTGGTAGATAGTTTAAGAAAGGAAAAAAAAAAACAACCCAACAAACAAAACAAACAGAACAGAGCTTGATCCATTACCACTTTTCCAAGGCAGTTTATTTCTTGTGCAGGTGAAAAATAAAAGAAAATTTTCCACCTGAACATGAGGAAGAACTTCTTTACATTGAGGGTGGCAGAGCACTGGAACAGGCTGCCCAGAGAGGCTGTGGAGTCTCCTGCTCTGGAGATATTCAAAACCCGCCTGGATGCCGTCCTGTATGACCTGCTGTAGATGACACTGCTTTCGCAGGGGGGTTGGACTACACATCTCCAGAGGTCCCTCCCAACCCCTACCATTCTGTGATTCTGTAAAATAAGGACTGCATCATTTTCTGGAGAGAAACTAATTTTGACAAAGTCATATGGCTAAATCCCTTGCTGTTTTTGAAACCACCACTCTGTCCCTCATCATATGTTACTGTCACTGTCCTTAGTTCTAATGATCAATGAATATACAGTAATCTCTAGGAAAAAAAATGTTTGTTTTCTATTTCACAACATGTGAGGCAGCCTTCCAGGAAGGAGACACAGTGCAGCTTTGCAAAGAGCAATCTTTTTAAGGATTGATATGCAAACTAAGAAAACAAAACCCTTCCCTCTCCTTGTGTTGTTTCCTCACCAGCTTCCACAGAAGAAGCCCTCGACTCAGCAATATTTTTCATTTGTGACAGTGATGAATTCAAGTGAGGCGTTCAAGTGAGTTACAAATTCTAGTCACAGTTGATAAAAGCAATGCCTGTTTAGAAACAGCTGATAATTTGGTTTGATGTACATGAGAAAAGCCCCAGAGATGGCTAGCACTGCCAAGCTAGAAAGCAGCTTGCCACCTGAGATGTTTCCTGGGGGATCTGCAGGATTCCCTCTGGCACAACTGTCAGTGCCAGTGTTTGGCAGTGTGAAGTAGAAGCCCAGCTTGGAAAGCAGAGGATCCTTCTAAGTTGCTAAGAGCTCTCTTTACACTTTCAGACAAGCACTTTATAAAGCAGTTCAGTCCACCTATCCATGAGGTAGAACGGGGAGAGGGAGGGTTCCTATTTCAAACAACTGTTTTTTTGTTGTTGTTGTAGTTCTTTATCTGAATGCATTTTGCAGAAAGAGTGAGTTCTGCCAACTTAGACTGCAAAACTAGAAATTTGAACCATTAACTCCATGTTCCTGTACTATACTAGTCAAATGCAGTTTTGTATACTCAGGATAAGGGTGGTTTTTAATAAGAAGTAAAGGGAAAAGAATTTACAGTTCATAAAAAAATATCAAAAAAGTTTGTCTCTAGGAAATAACAAAGTTTAAGGAGCTTTCAAGACCTCTCCCAGCAGAACACATAAGCTAGGTGTTCTCTTGAACAGAGAGACTGTATTGGATAAGTGCAAAGTCTTTTAAAGGAGGATCTTTCTCAGATGTCAGATTGCAACAATCTTTATCGTTGCTGCTGGGTTCTTGGAGATTTTTGGGTTTGTTATTGTTTTCTTCGGTTTGGTTTTAAACATGCTATCCAAGTAAGTGTTATATGAACAGATCCAAAATCAGGGATGCTCAGTACATTATTTTTGTTTCTTTTAACACTGTCTGGTAGGAGAAGAGCCTCTTTAAAGCCTTTGTTTTAGAGATGGCAGATGCAGAAAAGAGTCCCTGCTCTGCCTTCTGTCACTGGAACGATCTATGTATTTCTGCAGACTCATTGCATCATCATGCTATGTGAGTACCTATCAAAGTGAGAAAAAAAAGAAGGTCAGAGAGACTACAATTTTTAAAAACAAGATTTAAAAAGCTAAACATTGAACTTCTCCCTCTCATAAGTCCACTAACTGCAGTGGAATTACACCAAGGATGAGTCTGACCCTGTGTGACTTAATTACAATATACTTTATGCTTATTACATGCATCCATTTGTTTTTCTGGAAGCCTGCTAGTAATCTGATTTGTAGGTGTGCTCTTCAGACGTTTACTGTCCTACCCTCCTAGAATCACATTCTATGAGGAGGAGGGATTTTCTTTATCCATAAATTAGAAAGACACATTTTTGCCATTCCTACTAATAAAAAACTGCATCAGCTAAGGTACATGAAAAAGATTCTTTGCCATATTCAGCTAGTTTGTATTTAGTTATGCTGTGCAGAGTAAGAGAAGGGATTAATAAGGCCTACAAAAAGATGCATAAGCATGATTCCCATTTCTCTTAACTCCAACCCTACCAGCTTTACACTCTCCTAGAATGCTCTTGGACATGAGCAGTCATAACATTTAGTTTTGTTTAGCCTAAAAAAATGTGAACAGGAGTTTGTTCATGACCTATGATGCTTAGTGATTGCAAAGTCAGAGTCTTAAAAAAAAAAAAAAAAAAAAAAAAAAAGAGAAAACCAAGCCAAACACGTCCAGGTTCAGCAACTTAAGTGCTGGGGTAAAAAGGAGGAGGTCTTGAGCTCAAAACCCCTTCATGCCATCCCCGTCCATTCGCTGCCTGAAACTGTTTGAATCTGTGGGGGAAAAAAAATCCCATTGCCCTGCTCCATGAAAAAAAAAAAAAAAAAAATCGAACAGTTAACTCCATCCTTTCTTCCCATATTAAAGAGAAGTCTTGAGTAGAGGGAAACCACTAAAATGCAAATCTCTGATGGCTCAGTTTTCACTGAGAGTAGAATTAATTCTGGTGGGATAGTGGTGAACTACAAGGGCTGCAGAAGGAATACACAGCACTCTCCTGGCCCTGCCACTGCTGTCAGGAGCC